AACAGGTAAGATAACATATTGGCCACGGAATGCAGTAAGGACCGAAAACCGGAAATCTTTTCATTGCACCGGTGTATAGCCGCTGTTGCAACGCGACCAGGGACCCTCACGACCTGCCAGACGACCCGCCACCAGACTGCGCACGCTGGTGAGAGGGATAGTACGGCTGCACCGCTGCGGCGGCAGCAGCCGTCGCCAGGGCGCTAGCAGTCGCTGGGTATAATGGCCCTCCGCCGCCGCCACCGCCATCGCCACCAACACCAACACCAACACCGCCAGCCGAGCCGCTTCCCCCCGAACCAAATTGCTGCAAGGCAAACACGGGTGACTCTGGGCACGGCTGCGAGGGCGGCCTCGATACGCCTGCATGGCTTGAGCCGCCGCTGGCCGTGCGGCTGCTGTTCCGAGAGTGGTCGCGTCGCTGCGGCATTGCAGGGGACCCCGCCACCCCCATAGTCCCCACAGGTGGCGGCGGCGGCAACACCATCATGGCCTGGCTGTCGTAGTTCAGCTCAGTCCAACTCATATCGAAATCGCCGCCGCCGCCGGCGCCACCACCGCCACCGCCGCCGCCAGCTACTGCTGACGCGACAGAACGCCACATGGCCCCCGCTGAACCCGTCGCAAGGTCGCCCCCGCCAGCGGCACCAGAGGCTGCACCCCCGTGAAGGGGGCTGTTACTGACTGGGACGGAGAAGTACATGCTACTGCTCCCCGACGCCGCGGTGCTGCCGGCGCTCGTCCCTTGTGTGTCGGTGCTCATGCCGCGGGTGTGCATTGCGGCCGGGGGAACTGTGCCGTGTGAACCAGGAGCTAGCGGCGGCAACCCCGGCGGTGATGATGATGGTGCTACAGGTGCCTGGATATTCATCACAAATGGTGATGCGCATCTATTTTCATCAAGTAATAGTCAAGGCAGGAAGGAAAAGGCATAAAAAGATGCATTCCGGCTATGTAGTACTGAATCCGCAAATCCTAAGTCCCGGCCAGTCCTCCCTTGAGCCATCTACTTCAGCCTCTTGGCCTCTCCCGACCTCTCGGCCAGAAGCACTGTCGTCAGACAGACAGTCAGACAGACAGACAGACACACGCGGCCACTGGTCGCCTGCACGTACCTTGTTCCCCATGTCGAAGGTCAGCTCGTACATCTCCGCCAGTGTCGCCCTGTGCATGTTCCACCAGGCCTGGCCTTGAGACTGCTCCGTGAACATCTTGCGATTGAAGCGAACCTTGACCAGCCGAACCGGGCCGCCTTTTTGTGCCGGTGGCTTCAACGTGATGTAGACGCCCTGCTCAGCAGTTCGTCAGCAGTTCGCCATGCATGTGGTGGTATGGGGTAAGTGGATGGGGTATGTGGCGGTAAGCAATCACGGGGCGAGCAGGTAGCCATTGAGACGCGTGAAGGCGGCGGGGTGGCATCCTTTTCCCTCGCACGCGTGTGTGGATGGATAGAAGTGGATTCGAGCAGTGGTTACTCAACACACAGCCGCATCCCGCTGGTACGCCTCCGACCAACCCTCAGCGAGCCCAGGCAGCATGCGGGTGCCAGTGTCACCTGGCCTTGCAAACCATACACGGCGCCACACACCTATGCATGGTGGTGGAAGATGCAGCGCGTCCACTGCCTCCAATCCTACCGAGCTGTCATGGACTCCCGAGCAACTAGCCAACCGACAGACCGACAGACCGACCAGCAACTAATCCGCGCTCCCCACCAAGGGCACCCTCCAAGGCCTCCTACCGGCGCATACTGGAACTGCACACCCTCCGGTGGCAGCGTGTCCGCCGCAAGCGCCAAGGGAACATTGTAGCCCGATGATGATGACGCGTGCTGCTCTGTGCCGCCTGCCCCGCCTGCCACCGTGTTGCCATGTCCAGGCATACCTCCGCCAGGGACACCACTGCCGCTACCGTTGCCACTGCCACCGCCACCGCCACCACTCGCGCTGCTTCCGCCAGGCGGCTGCTCTTCAACCACCATTTCGTGATGCATCGTGTTCGCCCACTCCACAAACGCGTTTCGCCGCCGCCAGATCGGGGCCCCGGCCCCCCCCCCGCCCCGGNC